ACCTTGCTGTTGGGTAAAAGGGGAGTAATATTGATGGCAAATTTCCTTGGTGATGTTTTCCCTTCCTTGTAGTTGTCACTCCATTCACAAGAAAGCCTTGCAGGTTCAATATCTTGAGTGTCCATYTTGATGTTGACTTTATGTTGAGCACCAATAAAACTCTTTTGCTGAACCTCCTTTGTGATGTTAGGYAGYACTTCTTTCATTGGATCACTTTCAACAAATATTGCACACCCTTTGCCATACTTCTGAAAAGTGGAAGAGAAACATGAAGKWTTTTCATTGTTCACTTTCACTGCAGTATYTGTGAAGTCTTCAAGATTGAACAATTTTCCATGCTTGCTTGAAGYGTTCATGTTCTTGGTAGYAGATTCAAAGTCRTCTTTGGTGATAACTTTGACTTTGCAATCGTGAGGATTTGAATGCATTCTTTTTGTTGGAAACATTAATTCACAATCATCTTTGCTAAGTCCAAAACGGTTTCCTTTGTTTTTTCTTCCCTTRCATTTCCACTTTGATTTCTTTCGATCCACACCATCTTTGGAASAAATAGGCACTTGCTCCTCTCTGAAGTTTGGCCAGGAAGTAAGCAAAGGGGGATTACACATTTCATAAATAACCTCTGGTGGTTTTGTGTCAATGCCTTTATGTMTTAAGTCGCTGAAATACGAGTACTTATGCTTGGAATGGAGTTGTCCATCTTTATCGCTGTAAACCGAGACACAATCTCCTCTGTTTATACTGGCGAAATCAAAAATATGCCTTTCGTGAAAGCAGATATGAAGATCTTCTGATTCTTCAAATTCTTCTTCGCTTTCACACTCGTCTCCTTCTTCGAGTCGCTCCTTCACTAGGTCGGGAAGAAGCCATCTCTTTCTTTTACCAAGAGAGAACTCTAGTTCGGAAGATAACTCTAGTACATTATTATTTTGTCGATTTGGTATGTAGCCCATTTCCAATCCATCTGTAATACCATAGCGGTCTTCAAGTAGTGATTTTATGTCAGAATATGGAACTGCAGTGTTCTCTTTATACTTTACTAGTAAACCCTCTTGTAGCTGATGGAGTACATTTCGACGGACTGTACGTCCACTATGGATTCCTCTTTTTCCTTGTTCTTTCCAAACCATTATGTGTCGAGTTCTTTTTCTTCTTCACTTTRTGTTAAGCTCCGCTGAGCTTGCCTTAAGTTAGTAGTCGTTTTCATTTAAAGTCTGTTTTATTGAGTTCACTGCAGAAATTTCTTGTTGTTGGTGCAATCTTCTTCGACAGAATATAAAACCCATTTTGATTGGTTTATCATGGCTCACCCAATCACATTACTTGTTTTATTCTGCTAAAACCAGACATATCCCAGACAGGCGAGGCCTATGACACAAGTAAGTACGCAAGAGATAAAAAAATTCTCCAAACTTGAATAATTTGTATATTTTTGAATGTTTTAAAAGTGAGAACCTAGTATAGTGGACGTGCTGCTTCTGGAGGAGTTTCATATGAAGAATTTAACATTATGTATTAGAGCGGATTTCGTATGACTGTCAGTGTGCAAAAGTACGCATCACATGATTTATTGTTAGCTTGATTGATTGATGGCGTGAATGTATAAAACACCACTGATTGATTGCTTTGTTAATACAAACAATGTTCACTTCRTGGCTAAGCCGTCGTGTGGATCGCATGGATTGCGTCAAAGATTGCGCAGTTATGACGTCACAAAAATTGGAAGAAGACGGAAGAGAGACGCACGCGATGAYGAAATTGTTACGACAGCATTACAGAGGGAATAGGACATTTCTAGATACATATATGTATCCTGTGTCATGTATCTTGTTACGCATACATTTGATTGATATGAATTAATACAAGGGAAACAAGTAATGTAAAAAGTAATATCACCCTTACTATTTTACACTTTATCTAGCTGGGTCGGCACTATATGGTTTGCTTCATATAATGCACTTTACTTGGGTCTGCCCAAGGGCGGATCCAGCATTTTACAAGGAGGGGGGGGGGTGCCTTTGTTAGAACTGATCAATATTGTCTAGAGCAAGAAAATTATGCACAATTTGACCRAAAGCAGATTGACTTTTATTGCACCATATCTTACACTACTCTACTACACTACTCAAAGAGATTGTTAGGCAGCATAGTGGCATATACCTGTTGTATATGCTACTCGTTTTCTCAATACACCTTTTCAGTTGCTCTTAGGCCTCAACAGTGTGTTAAATATTCTTTTGAATTTGTAGCAATGTGCGTAATGCAAACATTGGTATAAATAGTATCATTTGTCAAATTCAAAAGAATAATTGACTTGCTATCGAGGCCTAAGTGCAACTGAAAAGGTGTATTAAAGTACAACAGGAGTATAAACAGCAGAAAACGTTTATACTGATATATTAAAAAATACGTMGTCAAAAAGGGGGGTGCGTCTGCACCCAAAGCACCTCCCCTGGAAGCAACATAATTTAGAAGGCATTTCTATTTGTCCAAATTCTCCTAAGATGATAAAAAGAGTGATTTTCAATCATCTGCAAACAGAAAAGACTTATCTCTCATAAAGAACAAAAGTCAATCATAATTAAGGATTTTAACTTTTTAACTGATTTTAACTAATGATTGAAAATCACTCTAGCTGATGGATACAGTAATCTAGGACTAATTGTCATAGTTTTTTTATTGAATTTTTATTAAATGAAATTGTGATCTTTAATTCTATAGATCAAATATTTACAAAATATCGAGTTATTTGCCATACATTCTTACAAAGTATAATTATCAAAATTTACCAAAATAATTTTAATTAATTCAATTGTTTTGGAAAGAAAGTGCATAAAGTTCAATGTTTTTCAATATTTGCTTAGTTTTTACAAGTCTTTTAGTGATAAAATACATTCAGTTCCCATTTTTACAAATCTTGTRAGACATGCAATCCTTTCATCTTTACCAACCAAACCTGGTTCTTGTAGTATGCAGTCAATTCTCTCTGTAACAAAGGATAGTTG